CCCCCCCCCCCCCCCCCCCCGCCCCCCCAGCAACATTTCTACTGCAAATGTTTATACTTGAGCAGTCCTTCTGGGGAGGGAAGTCAGCACACTGGTTTCCATTATACCACAGTCTCATTCCCTTTCCCAGGTTTTACCCAGCCATCTGCTCTCTTCTCCCGTTTCACTTTCCCTGAGTTCACCAGTCTGTTAGAGCATTTTTGCCATGTGTGCAGAGTCTTGGCTGACCAAATCCACATGCCAGACGTGATACCCACCAGCAGAGACATGAAGATTTTGAGCATCTCCACAGCCATATTGGAATCGTCACCCGAATAGCGGAAGACAGCCCAGTTGGAGATTTCATAGAAATAACAGGCAATGACACAGGTAGCTGGGACAGTGTATAGCACTGAAAAGACCCCAATTTTGACCATCAATCTTTCCAGCTTGTCAGTTTTAGTCCCATCTTTTTGAAGATTAGACCTAATTTTAAATAAGGCCACTAACCCTGCTGCTATGAATAGAGTTCCAATAACCAAGTAAGTGAAAAGTGGAGCAACGACAAAGCCAGTGAGTGCATCTAGATTCTGGCTGCCGACATAACACAGACCAGTGAGCTCATCCGCATCGACCAGTCTCATAATCAAGATGACTATGGTCTTCACAGCAGGGATAGCCCAGGCTGCAATATGGAAATAGGAGCTGTGCATTTCTATAGCTTCGTGGCCCCATTTGAGTCCGGCTGCCAGAAACCATGTCAGTGTCAGAATAACCCACCAGATGGAGCTAGCCATCCCAAAAAAATACATCAGTAGGAAAATTATAGCACATCCTGTGTTCTTAAGACCTTCTTGGATAAGAACAGGTTCTGCTGCCTCTTCAAAATCACAGGATATCCTTTCCCGGCCCACAGTCAGCCTCACAATATAAGCAATGCTATAAATATTGTAGCACATACTCAGAAATATGATTGGGCGTTCGGGGTAAGAAAATCTGGATGAATCGATCAGGAAGGTCAGGACTGTGAACGCAGTTGATATGAAGCAAAGACTTGCCCACACCGCCATCCAGATATCAGTAAATTCCTTAGCTGATCTGCTGTAGAGACCAGCGTCGTAGCCACACTTAAGGACACAGTTCAAGCTTCTTTTCACCCAGATATACTGGTCTGAATTAGATCCCATGGCATGACACTCTTCTCCTGGCTGTAAGGGCATCTTGCTGTGGAGGGGAACTTCTTCATCCCCCGGGCCCTCCATGCACATGTGGTTGTGGTCGTTCTGAGGTGGGAATTTACTGCAGTTTAGGCTGTCTGGCCAGGCAAATCCAAACTCTTTTAGGACAGGTTCACATCTTCTTTTGACAGAAAGGCACATGCCACCGCAGGGACCTATCGGGATGTTAATCTTCTCTGTGCACATGGGAACGTAGACTGAACAAAGGAAGAACTGGAAGAGAGAAACAACAGTCATTTTTGTGTTCAGAAGAGAAAGAGAGAACTAGGTAGGTTGAACGTGTCTCCTTTCTGTCTTCTGTCGCAGTGGAGCTGAGGATTTTGCCTAAGCCAACAAGGAGCAGAAACCTCAAATGATCATCCCTTTTTTCAATTAAAAAACATTTGAGGCCAAAACTCAATTGTTTTACTGACCAGATCGGCCTTACCAAAGCTGGGAACAGTTCAGCCCTAGATCTCAACGTCAGTGACGCAAACTAAGGCGGAGTATCTAAACTTTAAGAAAAGAATAGAGATTCACTTAGGAGATGGTATAGAGCTTTTTATACTCAAATGGAAGTGGGAATTGAATTGCTACAAGAAGTATTGCAGACATTTTCTTCTGTAAGAGTGCCTGTGCATTTAAACCAAGTTAGAGTACTGCAGCATGTTTAGCTAGTGCACTTACAGTTCTGATATACGGCATAGTAAATGAAATGTAAGAAGGTTAAAAAAAAAAAGCATTTAAGAAAGGCAAGCAAGGGTCAGTTTGGGAATTGTGTGTGAAGAAACAAACTCGTTCTTGTTTGATAAAATCTAAGCTGGGGGAGAATAAAGCTCTTGCCATTAACATGCGAGAGCGGCTCCTGCCATGAAATTATTGGAGGGACTCCCCTTCCCACCCGGGGCCCAAATCCACCTGTTTTTTTAAATGACAAAACATCTACAAAAACCCCCTCAGGAGCGGGAAACGCTTGCAAAGGGCCACACTTCCCCAACGGAGGGACAGCACCGGTTCCTCTTGTCGGTGCTTCCCCCCTGCACGCCCCGCTCTACCGCGAGCAGCCTGACATAGTGTTGAACGTGGGGCGGCTTTTAATTATTTTTTTTTCACATGCTGGCATCTGGACTGGAAAGTACCTCCTTGTGCCATCGGGATCCTTTGTACTTGGCCCATGCTCACGGAGAAAGATGGGGTGGGGGGGTTTAAGCCTGTGGGAAGAGCCCCCTCTGTGCAGCGTCGTGACATTTTGAAACCAAGAAAGAGAGGGGGATCCCTGATTTCAGTGCTGGGAGCGGGGCTGGAAGGGACTACAGAGGCCAGCGGGTGCCCGGGGAAGACCAAGCCCCCCCAGGGCTGCAGAGGGGCAGCGGTGCACCAGCTAGCCCCGGGAAGGCAGCCGGGAGCAGCGGCACAAAGCTGGGCGCCCTGCCCTGCCCTGCCCTGCCCGGGGCGCCCCGCGCACGCACCTGGAGCTGGCTGGAGCAGCCGTACTGGATGAGCGGCGTGAAGGTGGTGAGTTGCAGCTCGGCGTCCGCCTGCAGCTCGTGGCCCACCAGGTTGGGCATCTTGGTGACGTTGTAGCCCAGGTTCTGGCACATGGCGATGCGGATCCCGTCGCAGCGCCGCTCCTCCTCGTCGCCGAAGCCGCGCGCCCCGCCGAGCGCCAGCGCCAGCACCAGCGGCAGCGGCAGCG